GTTTGAAATTAGTGCAATTGTTGGCTGGCGTTGAAATGAACACAGAAAAACATGTTACTTTTAAGATAAATTCTTCATTAATCTAAATGAACATCCGACAAAAAAACATGAAGTCAGTGTAACCACTAATCAACCAATGTCTTTTCTTTCGAAGTTAGCTTTTACTGGGCTCTGAGACACGATACATCACACTTTGTATCTATGAGTGGAAGTAACTCAAAAATCCAAAAATTTCTAAAGTAAAAGTGAACGCGGTTGAGTTACAGTTAGCTCATTTTAGTCCAAACTCCCCTCTCAATTTTGACCGTGCTGTAACTGCACTTCTCTTCGTCCATATTGTATTTCAGGACGAATCTACTGAGTTAGAAGGTAAACTTGGGAGTCTAAAATAATCGTAAGATTTTAAAGGAGTATGTTCACTGAAGAAGAGCTCAGATATTTGCTAAAGTTGACAGTAACATTGCTATTAAACAGTGCATAGAATGATGATAATAAGTGCTTCTGGTTGTCATGACAACTTGATAAATGCATTCTTCCCAGTGTGCCTTGTTTGATGGAGAGAGTTGATAATTGTAATTGACAATTGGAACTGCTTGCAAATCTATAAACTATCCTTTGCTATAATTTCATCTGTCATTTTAAGTTGTTCAACAAAAATTAAAGCGTCCAAGGTAGCGATGCACGTAATAAGATTTTTAAGAAAAACTTCATGACACAATATTAAGATGCAGACAAGATTTCTTTGGAAATTATCGAGAATCTTCTTAGGAACATGCAGAAATAAAAGAAACACCATATTAGTAGAAGTTATGCTAAAACATTAAATTAGATCAAATCGGCTCCCGTAAGTTGTGAGGAACGAAGATTTAGGGACTAAAAAATTAGAATTAGTTGAATCAAGAAGAGAAATATGCAATTTCAGTGAAAGAGAAATATGCAATTACAGTCTGAAACGGCTTAATGCAGTTGTTAGAAGAACAGTAGTTGTTAGATGAATGACAGAGATAAATATTCGTTTTAAAGTCAAGGAAAAGGCAGAAAAGCAAATCGCTTTTGGCTCAAACAATAAATCCAATCTATGGTGAAGGCTCGGTGGTGGATACACTTTGAACCACCAATTGCTCGAGAAAATCCACGAACTCCTGAAAGGAAGTAGACAGTTAGGTAGAAAAAGAAATCTTGTTGATTGCATTCAAAAATGAATACCATTCCTAATTTGATGCTCTCAGCTTATAAAATTCGAAAGGGAGATAAATCCAAAATTTCCGGGAAAAGTTCAGTAAATCTACCTGAACATTTTGCAGAATAAAAACTCCAAACAACTGACCTCCAGTGCATATTCGCGAAGAATGTTCGATGGAACGTATTCCATTCTTTGATGCTGTGGTGCAGTACCCTCATATAAAACTGCGTAACGAAGATTAGGTTCGTCCTTATTAACTCCCATAATTTTTTCAACCTTCTTTCCTTGTTGTAGCTTGTAGACACGGTCAGCTTGAATCAAAACGCATTATCAGATAGCGCTTAAATGATATGACCGCGTAAGGCTTACTCGAAGAAGACTCGGTACTGGGTGCAATCTCTTCGCTCTTTTTCCTTGATTTTAAAAAGCGATTAGGAGTCGAACTTTCATCACTGGCATAAGAACCATCTGTAAGATTCAATATTAGCAGACAAGAACCTCAGTGTCACTATAAAGAACAAACCTCTTGATGGTGGTATAGCTGACTTGCGGAGACTACTGAGGCGCTTGGAGCAGGCGAAATTCTTTACTTCACTAGATCGCCGCGCAGTACCTGTACAATTGAATTACATAAAAAATTAAGTAAAAAAAATGAACGAGCCATGATCAAAAATGAGCAGATACAAGTCATATCAAATGTTTTTGATTTAAAATGACAAACAA